TCAGGTTGGAGTGCAGTGGCACACTCACGGCCACCCCAGCATTAACCTCCTGGGCTCTGAAGATCCTTCCGCTTCAGCCCTCCAAGTAGCTAGAACTATAGGCACGCCTGGCTATTTTTTGGTTTATTGTAGAGACGAGGTCTCACCAAGTTGCTTGGGCCAGTCTCAAACCCACGGGCTCAGGCAATCCACTTGCCTTGGTCTCACAAAGTGCTGGGATTACAGGCTGAGCCACCAAGCCCGGCCTAAATAAACTATATTTTCTAATCTAACTTCTGTGCATCTTCCATGCAGCATCAAATCACACCCCAGATACCCATACCCCAGGGGGCCTGACCTAACATTTTGGAGGCCTCACTGGGAGAGTGTGACCCTAACATATTTTGTAGGCCCTGCTGGGATGACCAAAACAATAACAAAATACAATTTTAAAAATACCATTTACAATAGTATAGAAATACAAAATACTCAGATAAATTGGGCAAAAGTTGTCAGCTGTACTATGTTTATAGGTTAGAAGACTCAATATTTAGATGTAAGTTCCCCTTAAGTTGATCTATGGATTCCACACAATCACAATCAAGATCTGAGTAACTTTGATATCAGTTCTAGTGACTTTTTTTGTAGATATCTTTGGATTTTTCAACATAGAAAATGTTGTCTTCTGCTAGGAAAGGCAGTTCTAACTTTCCAATTGTGTAGAGATGCCATCTTTTGTTTAATCCATGTATCTGCTGATAGATATTTGGAAAACAGTTTGGCAGTTTCTTTTTTTTTTTCAACTTACATACTTTATTTGAGAACTTACTGTACATAAAATGTTTTATGTAGTTGATCTCAACTTTGTTCATACTGACTTCAGGGAGTTTTTGGTTTTCTATGCTCAAGACTGCTCAATTGCTGCTGTTGCTGTTGGTTTGTTTTCTTTCAGAATCAAGGTGGGTACTTTCGTATATTATCTTATTTTTAATTCCTTCTCTGGCAATTCTTTCCTGGATTCTTTGTTTTGCATAAATATACCTACAGTGGAACCAGCATCTCAAAGTCACCAAAATAAATCCTCCTACCCCAACATCACATAATCTTCTAATTCTACTAGCAAACAAAAAATGTCCAAGGCTAGCCACAGCAGATCCTAATGAGTCATATAATATTGAATCTCATGCACAGGGAATGTTTTAGACATTTAAAATTCCTAGGAGCTTAAAGGATTTCCCCTTCCCAGGCTGGCCAGGCTCCAGCATGGTGACTATGGGGACAAGTCAGCACTTCCAGCCCTGCTCTGTCACCACTGGGGATGGTGGTTTCTTAAAAAGCTAAACATACACCTACCATCTGATCCAGTCATTTGACCCTTGGTATTTATCTAAGACACATGAAAGTATATGTCCACACAAAGGCTTGTACATGATCATTCAAAGCAACTTTTATATATAACTATCCAACATGGAAATGACCCAAATATCTATGAACAGGTGTGTGAATGAACAAAATGTGGCACCTCCACACAATGGAATACTACTCAACACTTAAAAAGAATAAATTATTGATACATACAACAACATGGATACAACTGAAAATAATTAGATAGCATGAAAGAGGCCAATCAAAAGAGTACATATTATACGATGTCATGTATATAAAAGTCTAGAAAATGAAAACCAGTGTGTAATAATAGAAAGTAGAAATTGGTTTCCTAGGGTGACAGTGGGGAGGCAGGACAGGACTGACCAATTACCAAGGGGACATGAGAAAACATTGGGGGTGATGGATATGGCCACTATCTTAATTGTGGTGAAGATTTCATGGTGTATACACATGTCAAAACTAATCAAGTTGTAAAGTTTAGTATATGCAGTTGGCAGTACATCAATTCAATCTCAATAGAGCTATTAAAAAATGCAAACAGAACATTTAAAAGCCACATCGAAAAGATCTCTGGATTATCTACTATGTTGAATTAAATCGGTTAACTATTCTTTCACTAGAGTAAAAACCTGCAAGCTAAATCAATCATTTATTCATTCACACATTAATTTGTATAGCTTTTATCAAGTGCCTTCTAGGTTCTAGGTCCTGTCCTTGTTGCTGGTTATAAAAGACACAGGCCCAAACTTTTACTCTCAAGTATAAAGGAATAGTGCCTGAAGACCAGTTTCCTTTCATAGAACTGCTGAAAAATCAGATAAAATTCAGAAATCATCTGTGATGACAGCAGAGAGTTGCTGAAATCATGAGACTAGAGGGCTAAGATTTCACAAAGGGAAGAACCTAAGAAAGCTGCTCTTCTACAGTTGTTTTTACCCTGGGGGCATTTGCTGATTCTGAACATGGAAAGAAGGCTGAAAGTCTTAGCCAGGAGTCAAATAAGCTTGCACAGATTTAGGCAGAGACTTGCAGACCAGTAGAGCATGTGCACAGGGTGGGGCTCAAAGCTAAAAAAAAAAAAAAAAATCCAAGCAGAAAGCCTCTGAAAAAGCAGTGTGAGAAAAAAAAAAAAAAAGTAGTGTGGAGGCTTTTTTTAAAAGCAGCTTTGAGAGATAAAGATTGGCATCTGGAATGTGATAGGAGAAAGGACTCTGCAGAATACAGAATACAGCTGAAAATCCTAGAGAGCCTAGGGCAAACGAGGCAGACTGAGACTCTCTGGGGCTGCAAACCATCCTCAACTCAGTGCAGCCACTGCCTGTTTAACGTGATTTGCCACAGCTCTATCTGCCTTCTAGAGGGAAGGATAAACTTTCTCTGGAGCTTATAACATCATCTGGACCTCTGTGTCTTTTATGTGCAATGCCCATCACTTAATAAAAATTACCAGGCATTCCCACAGGCAGGAGCACATGACCTCAAACCAAGTTAAAGAAAAGACTACAGAAACAAACCTGCGGGTTATCCATATGTTAAAAACCAGCTAATAAGAACTTTAAAATAATTATAATCAATACGTCTATGAACAGAAAGGAGAATATGGACAAAATAAATAAAATGATGAAGAATTTCACCAGTGATTTAGATCTATAACAAGGGGTCAAACAGGAATTCTCTAGAGAAAAACAGGAATTAACATGGAAAACAACAGACACGAAATGGCAGATTAGACACAATAAAAGACAGGATCAGTGAACTGGAATATCTAAACCAAAACCTAAAAAAGAAAAGATAAAACCAATAAAAAAGCATTAAGGATACAAGGGACTCAGTGGAAAAAAATCTAAAATTTGTTTAATTAGAGTCCTAAAAGGAAAAGAAGCAGAGAATAAGGTAGAAGCAATATTTGAAGAAATAATAGCTAAGGAGTTCTCAAAACTGATTAGTCACTGACCTACAGTTTCAAGGAGCTCTGTGACTCCAAACAGAACAAATGCAAAGAAAACACATAGCAAGATCGGTGAAAACAAAGAAAAAGAGAAATCTTAAAAGCAGAAAAAAGACAATATATTTTTTTTTTTTGAGTTGGAGTCTCACTTGGTCACCCAGACTGGAGTGCAGTGGCCGCTTCCGGGCACCGCAGCCTCGCCTGCTGGGCTCCAGCGATCCTTCTGCTTCAGCCTTCCAAGTAGCCTGAATTACATGCATGTGCTACCACACCCGGCTGATTTTTTGATTTATTGTAGAGATGAGGTCTTGCTGCCCAGGCGGGTCTCGAACCCGCGGGCTCAGGCAATCCACTCACCTCAGCCTCCCAAAGGCGCGGGATTACAGGCTGAGCCACTGAGCCCAACTAAAAGACAATATTTTAAAGGAGTGACAAAAATGATTTACGGCTGACTTTTCTACGGAAACGATGGAAGTCAGAAGACAATAGAGTGACATCTTTCAAGTACAGTGTGAAAAGAAAATAACTGTCAATTTATAATTCTATGCCAGCAAAAATATTCTTCCAAAATGAAAGCAAAACAAAGATGTTTTCTAGGCAAACAAAACAGAATTTATCACCAGCAAACCTGCACTAAAAGAAACATTAAAGAGAGTTCTTCAAATACAAGGAAAATGATCCCAGAGGGAAATATGAAACTGTAGAAAGTAACGAAGAACAACAGAAAAGGTAAATATGTGAATAAATATAAATGAACACAAACTATGCAAAATAATAATGTAGTATCTTATGGGGTTTAAAATGCATACAACAAAGATGCAAAAGTCTGAGGGATAATAAATGCAGTGAATGTGTTCTAAGATTCCAGGATTATCAGGTAAGTAGTGAAAGAAATAATTTATATTGTTCTTTAATAAGTCAAGATATATGTTGCCATCTGTATAAATGCAAAAGGCACTAGAGTCAAGTCTATAGGGGCCCTGGTTGTCAGCACTGCCATGAGCTCCAGAGTAAGGAAATGGGAACGGTGGCTTTTTTCCTGAAGGCAGAGGTTTTGCCTCAGCAGCTGAATATCTGGGCAGGATGATTACTGGCGTCTAAAGCCCTGAAAATCCTTCTACCGTCAGCCCCTCTCAGTCTCCCAACGCAGCCAGCACCTCTCCTTGAGGCACCGCTGCTCCTCACCTGCTCGTTCATTCCTCAGCACAAACCCTTACTAAAGGGTGCCTGGCACTGTGCTAAGGGCTAGGCCTGCAGAAATGAACCAGAAATATTACCAGGCCTCCACAAACTCACACTCTATTAAGCCAGATCATTAAACCAGGCCTCTCTCAAACTTTGAAGACGAATCACCTGGAAACAAGGTAGGTCTGGGAAAAGGCCTGAGGGTCTGCATTTCTAACCAGCCCCAGGTGTTGCTGATGTTTTGACTGGAGGAATGCACTCTGAGTTACAACTAAAAGGCTGAGTGACAAGTACTATGAAAAACTATAGCTCAGAGAGGTGAAATAGCTTGCTAAATCTCTCACAGTAAGTGGAGTAACTGGGATAGGACCAGAGATATAGCTAACTCCAAAGTCTGCTTGTGCTCTTTCCTGCCTCCCTTGGGAGAAGGAAGGTGACTGTGGAAACAGGTAGTGTCTTATTCCATTTTGTGTTGCTATAACACACCACCTGAGACTGGGTAATTTATAAAGAAAAGAGGTTTATTTAATTCATGATTCTGCAGGCTGGGAAGTTCAGTGGCATGATACTGACTTCTGACAAAGGCTTTCATGCTACATTCTAATATGGAGAAAGGTCAAAGGGGAGCAGTGTGTGTGAAAAGGGACCAAAGAGAAGAAGGAATCTCGCTTTGCAACTCTCTCTTGGGAACAAATCCACCGTGAGAGTGAGAACTCACTCCCACAGGATGGCATTAATCTATTCATGAGGGATCCGCTGCCATGACCCCAGCACCTACCACTAGGCCCCCACTCCCAACATTGTTGAACTGACAATTAAACTTCAACATGAATTTTGGAGGAGACAACTCACATCCAAACCAGAGCAGGTAGGGTATAAATCCTTCATGTTAGGATGGAGCATGAACACCTTTGTCCAGCCTTGGGGAAAAGTTGCCCAAGCTGGATCTTAACAGATGAACAGGATTTTGCCTGCCAAAGAAGGAGGGCAGGGAGAAGGTCTTCAGCACAGCAACGGGCACAAGAACACAAAGGACAAGGGTGCTGGAGTAGAAAGCCTGGGCTTGAATTCCATTCCACCATCGATGAACTCCAAAATACTGGATTTACTTAATGTGCCATGCCTCAGTTTTCTCAACTGTAAAATGAAGACAATCATAACGGCACCCACCTCACTGGGTTGGTGTGAAAATTAAATGTGCTGGTGTATATAAAGGGTTTAGAACCATGTGTGGCACAGAGTAAGTAGTCAGTAAACAGTGGTCATTACAGTAGTTGCTCAGTATAACAGACGAACAATGGAAGGAATGAAGGTATCTCAGGCAGAATGATTCCTCCTGCGCCTGACAGTGCAAGGGACTGGGAAGACACTGCGTTTCTTGTCCAGAAGGATGACTGCCCTGTCCTGGAGGGGAGGGATCCAGCTGTATTCCTGTACACACCATCCCAAAGCATCCTCTACCCAAAAGCACCTTCACATATGTTAGTTCATCTCTTCCAAATGATGACTGAGGGCAGCAGAAATCCCTTGCCCATTTCCCAAGTGGGAACACTGATCCCTAGAGAAGGGAAGTGACTTGCCCATTGTCTCCCTGAGTATTAGAGGCCAGGAGTGTGATGGTTAACTTTAGGCATCAATGTGACTGGTTTCAGGGATACCTAGACAGCTGGCAAAGCACTACTTTCGGGTGTTCCTGTGAGGGTTCCAGAAGAGACTGGCATGTGAGTTGATGGGCTGAGTGGG